GGGGGGGGGGGGGGGGGGGGGGGAGTGTGTTTGGTGAGCTAAGCAGAGGCCCTGAGTCCCAGCGCCGGCCTGAGGCCATAAGACGCAGTGCTTTCCATACAATGAGCAGCAGTTAAGCTGAGCTGAGCTGAGCTGAGCCATGCCGGCTCAAGCCAATTTGATCTGAGCCCCCCCCCCACGCCTTAGTCAGCCAGCCCCACCAGCCCCGGTATTAAAACCAACAATAACAGATGCCAGTACAAACAGATAAATGAAGACGGGGTACAAACCCTCCTAACTGGTCTAATATGGCTAACAGGGGCGGGGCTCGACGCCGAGCATACACACAGGTACAGTGGCCAGTAGGGGGAGCCCTGCTAATGGGGCGCTGCTTGTATTAAAAGGCAGCATTACATGGGGGGGGGAAGACGACCCAGGGAAACATGCGAGGTATAAGGAAAGGCTTGTTACGACAAAGCCAGTGCACACAGACGAACACACAAACGAGGTCAGTCGGATTCACGCAGCCGATCAGATTCAGCCCCTAAACTGCGTGACAGGATATGTAGCCCCGCCCACCACCTGCCACAGCAGAAGTGATGGGAGCGCAGGTCTATCTGCTGGCTAAAGAGCATGGAGACACTTGACAGTTCGAGTGCATGTGTGTGTCTGCAAAGAGATGCCAACCGGTGAAGATGTGGCTGTACCCGTCTGCATACCCGCTCCCTGGCACAAGGGCTTCAGTCTGCCAGCCCGTCCGCACATGAAACGGCTTGTCGTTCGTCCGCCCAGCTCGCCCGTCTCCCTTGCTTTGATCACAGCTGGAAGCCCGGCTGAGCTGCGCGGCTCTCCACGGCAGCGCCGACTCGCACAAACCAGCCCAATTTTTCAAAGATCACGAGCGAGAGCCAGAAAGAGGGCAGTTCACAGCAGAGGGTCTCTCTCTGGGCCTGGAGGGAGGACCGTGCCAAAATCCAGCCACTGCGCAGCCCCGTGTTTCACTGCAAAATCATGCCCCACTGCAAAATCATGCCCCACGCCCCTGTGAATGTGAGACCGGGAGATGAGCTGAATCGGTGAATGGAGTTTCACTGGAATGAGCTGGAAGGTCACTAGATTTTTTTTTCCTGGGTTGTTGAGTCAGTTTTTGCCTCCAGGAGCTTCCCATTCACCGAGATAAAGCACTAACTGTCTGTAGATGTAATGTTATGGCTGATCGGTTAATAGGTACACCAGCTGGGTTGCGGACAGACTACTGAAGAGAAAAGAATATTTTCCTTAAAGCATCTCCTTGTTGACCTCGTCCCGATAGAGAGGTCTCCTAAAAGCCTTCGCTAAAGCGTTTGGATTGTATGCAAGCCGTACCGGAGCGGTGACCTCACTGACACGGC